TCCCAGCCTCCCTTCGCTGCCACACACCGCCATCCCCGCCCCGCGCCGCCACCCCCGAGCCCCTCCGCCGTGCGCCGCCACTCTGAGCCCCGCCGCCCTGCGCCTGTCACCCCCCGCCTTGCGCAGCATCCTACCGGTCGGACCAGCCGCCGGCCGAATCCAGCCGCACTTCGGAGCTTCGTCTTCTTCCTCGTCGAGACACGCGACAACCACCCTAGTTCGGGCGTAGTAAGTACCTCGGTACGAGTTAAAACGGTGGTCCGTTCGGAATAAAAGAAATGGCCAAAATTCAAATTGTAAAAATTCAAGCAAAAAAAGGGACCCCATGAAAATCCTGCTTACTAAGTACCTCAGTACAAGTCGTAAAATGAGAGAAGTTCAGAACATCGTTGTCAATAAAATGTTGAGTTCAAAAAAAAGTGTACAGACTGTAGCTTAGCATTTGATAATTGTTTGCAACATGTACAACCCGTGGATGATTATGTAATTGTTTTCATGCGTTACCATATGTCCAACAGTTTAGTATGTATTTTATAGTCAGTTCAAAGGGCATATCAAATTCGGTATAGGATTGTTGCATCAATAGTTGCTATCGCAAAACACAAAAACATTTCTTGGAGAAAAAAATTCAGCCAATTCAAGTATATAAATCATGCAAGTTCGGTGATGATGACACGTCGAAACACATTTTAAACTAAACCTAAAAGTTACATTTTTACAAGTTCATGTGATCAACCTCCTGAACATTTCAGATTGTGAAAAATAGCTCAGTACAAACACACACATATGTCAGTACAAGTACTTTGTTTATCAGACGGGAAAACAACAGGATGTGTCTTGCCGTAATGAAAACTTTTTAAATAAATACAAAGTAAAGTCTAGTATGTGGAAACACGCTCAGTACAAAATCATATAGACATCTGTTCAAGTACTTTTTTGGAACCATTCAAAACTACAGTGAAAAATACCTCAGTACAAACACACAAATATATCAGTACGAGTACTTTGTTTTTTAAAGGAAAAAACACCATGATGGGTGTCACTGTAATCCAAATTACTCTTCAACGCCTGCAAATATGAGAAAATGTTCAACATGACTAAGTTTCGCATTTTCGATAGCTATCCAACGGTATATTATTTGCCCCATTTCGACAAACTTCTAAAAAATTCGCGTTCAAAATCAAATTTGACCATATTCGAATTCGTTTTAAACCGTAAAGAATTAGAAAAACATTTCAATACAAAAAAGTTGCGCATTTTTCGTAGCTTTCCAACGACGTATTATTTGTGTTAATCCGACAAACCGTTTGCAAAAAATCGCGAAAATACGTTTCGCCCAGAATTTTACCGTTTTTCAAATTACTTTTAAATCATATAGAATTAGAAAAAACAATACATATATGGAAGATGCGGATTTTCACCAGCTTTCCAACGCCATATTATTTGCTCAATTCCGACAAACCGTTTGAAAATTGAGTCCAAAATACGATTCACATTTTCGGTTTTGAAAAAAACGGTTTTTCAAAACTGCTCTTAAACCATAATGATTTTGCAAAAACGTTCAATATACTTGAAATATGGTTGTCAAGAGCTTTCCAACGATATATTACACGCCCCATTCTGATAAAAAAATTACAAAAAGTTTTTGATGTAAAGAAGACGATCTGTTAAACACAACTGAAAGCATCAGTTCAACTGCTTCAAAAACATCAGTACAACCACCTGAAACCGTCAGCTCAAAAAGGATAACAGAATAACCCAGATGTGTGTGTGTGTCTATATATATATATATGAATGCCTATTGACAAAACCATTCGAACAGGAGAATCTTGTATATATTTGAGTTTAGATTTTGTTCTTTCAAATTTTCAATCATATTTCAATTCCAGTAAATTCACCTGTGTATTTCTAGTTTCTAATTTTATACATGTTTCAATTATTTTAAATAGGTTTCAACTCTTTCACTCTTATTTAAGTCAACTTCTTAAATAAGCATTTAAATTGAGTGAAATAATTGAAAAAAATATGAAATTATTTCACTCATATTTCAATCAAATTCACAAATAAGGATCAAATATGAGTGAAAATACTTGTCTATAAAATTGAAATAATTTATCAGCATTCAAGAAATTATGTGTTTTTCAGTAAAATTCATAAATAAGCCATAGAAATGAGTGAAATAACATAAACACGTATTTATTTCACTCGTATTTCAATCAAATTCATAAATAACCATTAAAATGTGAGTAAAATACTAGCTATTTGTGTGAAATGTCTATAACCATTTAAATCCTAAAATAGACTAACGTCTGGCTAAGATAATCTGGTACTTGTGAAATATGCACTGATTAAGATATGTGCCAATATATATGAATAATATTTAAAATCAAACTGAGTGGAATAATATTTGAAATCACATATTTGGAGTTATTACTCGAAAGCACTGAGATTGTGTAAAATGATTGATTGAAATATGCATGTGAAATATGCAGGTGGAATGTTTTCTCTAATGGATGGAAATATAACTAAAATGATTAAGATATGTGTCAATATTTATTAATAATATTTTAAAACTTGAAATTTAGTAAAATAATATTTGAAAGCACTAGAATGGAGTTACTATTCAAAGCACTAAAACTGTGTGAAATAATTTATTGAAATATGTGTGGATGTATGTGAAATATGCATGTGGAATGTTTTCTCTAATGGATGGAAATATAACTAAAATGATTAAGATATGTGTGAATATTTATGAATAATATTTTAAAACTTGAAATTTAGTAAAATTATATTTGAAAGCACACAAATGGAGTTACTATTCAAAAGCACTGAAATTGTGTGAAATAATTTATTGAAATATGTGTTAATGTATGTGAAATATGCAAGTGGAAAGTTTTTTACAATTGATTAAAATATAACTAAGATCATTAACATTTGCGTGAATATTTATGTGTAATATTTGAAAACTTGAAATGGAGTGAAATAATATTCGAAAGTACATGAATGGAATTAATATTCAATAGCACTGAGATTGTGCGAAATAATTGTCCAAAATATGTGTGAAATGTATGTGAAATATTTATCGATTATAGTTTGATTTTTTATATGATAAAAAGTGACTAATGTATTTGAAAGTATTTATGAAATATTGTTGTTGTTTTTTAATGATGAGAAAAGTAAGTGAAAATTCACATAAATTTCATTGTTTATGGTTACATTTAAATATTTTTCATAAATTATTTAACACATATTTCAATTATTTCACTTGATTTCTGAATTATTTAACATATATCTCAGCTGATTGAAATAGTGAAATATAAAGCAGTTTAAAATGTATCCAAGATTGGTCTTGTGCTAGGTATTGTCATGAGGCATTGAAATATATGAAAAATCGAAAATAAAACTTCAGTTTAAAGATGTCAATCATCTAAATTATCAAAGGGAAATAAAATGTATGACTTTTGTTTGGCGCACGAGAGAGACAAGAGAGAATCGAATAAAATGCAAGCAGCTGCCACTTCAATACCAAACACACAAACTCAGGATACCAAACACACCAGAATTCAATTGGTGTGGGGGTGGACCATTAGAGGTTGCTTCTAAGCCTTAGGCAACAATAGAGGTAGCTTTCTAAAGACCATGGAGCTTTTAGATGTTCAGGACTCAAGAGGCGACCTTTATGTACGAGCGTACATTGTCATGGCCACCATGACAATCCCGACTACACCTCTCGGAGTCACCATGGGAGGCTTCCGAATTAGATGGATATGACAACTACGGCGACAAGCTAGATGGTGCATTGACCAGGAAGGAGCAGCGGACTTGGACAAGCAGCAGCCACTGGCGGCTGCTTCCGTTCACCGGCATCGGCACCAGCTGCATCGCAACGCACCCGGTATATCTGCACTTAGTGTAAATAATAAAGGTGGATTTACTACAGTTCTTGATTGATTGGGACCGTTAATTAAAATGTAACATTCTTATGGTATCAAAGGAAGAACACAACATAGACACGAACACTGCCGCACTCAGAAAAGAACATCCAAAATGATGCTACAATAATTAACCAAAACATATACATGACGAACGCCAGGCAAAGCAATGTAAATAGTACCATCCTATAGGCAAGGTGATGACGTCTACCGCGAATTGAGAACATTCACAATGATGCTACATCCACGCTGCTGAAATCCCAGTTGTCTTGAATTGAGAATGCTGATCTGTTTGCGGCTCCAGCGAATCTGAACAAACAAGACAGAAGTTTAGATCAGACTAGAGAAGACATTTGGGGTCCAATTTGTACACATATTCGAGAGTTTACAAGCTTAAAGCAACGAATTATAGGCATTATGTTGGGCTATATATAGCAACAGAATAGCATCCGTTTCATCAGTATGATTCATCTAAACCAGATTTGAATATGTAGATGCTGTTGTGTGTTCAGTTTCAGCACTGTAATTTGCAATGCAGGTTGGAGCACGTAACAAGACAGAGAAATGTACACAAAAAGAAACGAGCACTGAAAATCTTAGGTCATTCTAAACTGGTAGTAGCTTAGTGTTTGCAGGCCTTTGGATTTTTTATTGCCTAGCTTAAGTCACTTAAGGAAATATATCAGGGGTTCTACCCACAATCAATAAATGATAGATGTGAAGCCTATAACTGATTTATGAGACTGGCCCAAATCACACAGTGTGAGCGCACACTGCTCTTTCTTTGTTAGTCAGAGCAGTGACTCAAGCAATTATCTGTGAACACAGTAATTAGGCAGAGATTTTTTTTGTACGATTCTCCTGAAACTGGAATTGAAACAAACAGGTCAACAGATCACAAATATGTTCACTTTCTCATGATTGAGCTCAAGAACATAACCACTACTAGGCTGTGTAAATAAGAATGGCCAATTGCAAAACTGAACTGTTAAGCATTAGACAATCCATGTGAAAAATGTGAAGGGAAAGGCATAACATAACTGGAAATGCAGTAGAAAATATACCACTTCATATTGTCGGCGAAGACAGCGATGGCGGGAAGTGGGCATATATGCGCGTCCTGGACAAGGACTTCCCGAAAGGCTTCACACAGACCCTCTCAAGCTGCAACTTCTTGACGTCCACCGAGAAATACTCCAACAAGTCTGGCATCACCATAGACAAGCCAACGAACCGTGGGGCTTCAGAACATATCAGGAGCACATACCTCTCTGTTGCAGCTTTGAGATAATGCAGGCCCTCAGGACCTAGTGAGAACGTCTTCACCATCCGCCACTGGCCGGAATTCTTGCCTTTGTTCTGCCTAACGCTGTAGCAGAGGTCATGTTTGCTGCCACCTGCGGTTCCATCACGGATGCCAAACAGCCCAAGCCTGCCTTCCCCTGCCTCCACAATGGCCACGCCTAGAGTGCCCCAACCAGAGGATGGGAGCTCGGCGATGGAGAACTCCATCCTCTGGATGTTAAGCACAAGCAACTCTTTCCTCTTGATATTGGTGGAGTCCCAGTAGAAGCAGCCATAGGCGTGGTGCCGCCTGAGATAAGCAGGATCCATGGGCGACACTGGCATGGCCGACCAAAGCATGGGTGCCGCGGCTCGCCACTGCCCGGTGCTCGAACAGAATACAAAGGGGACCAGCTTAGTCTCGCAATGCACCATAGAGATCACCGTGAATGCCGTCCCTTCCGCCGCCGCATCGTTCTCGCTGAGGGGAAGGAGGAGAGGCTCGTCCGAGGGCCTGCGTAGCACGGGGGGCGGGCGCTCCACCGAGGCGACGAGGGCGTCGGGCACCGGGGGGAGCAGGACGTACCGCCGGTGCAGGGGGTCGCACACCGCGAGCTCCCTGCAGATCGGAGGCCGCGCGTCCTTCCCGTGGTCCCGGCCGAGGAGGACGCAGCCGTCGCGGACGTCCATCGGGATCCAGCGACAGTGGGAGGGGAGGAAGGAGAAGGAGAAGTCAGCGGCGCTGGCAAGCGCGCGGGCGGCGGGCGCGGAGGGGTGGGGCGGGAGCGCGGGCTGGAACCCGTCGAGGTCGATGAAGGCGAGAAACCGTGGGGCGTGGAGGCGGCGGAAGCGGCGCAGGAAGGAGCCGTCGGTGGCGAGGCGGCGGAAGGCGGGGCAGGCGGCCGAGGCGCGGGCGAGGTCCTCCGGGTCGGGCAGCCGGAGGAGGATTTCGGTGAGGAGGCTGCCCGGGAGCTCCATCAGCGTCGGGGCCATCTCCTTGCCGGCCACCGGATGTGTCGAGGAGGGGAAATGGTCGCCGACGGGAACGGAAGGCCGGGAAAATCGGACGAGATGGTGGGGTGGAAGGGGAATAGGCGGCGGCGGCGGCGGCGGCTGTGTGCGGGTGCTGCTGCAGTCTTGGCCGAGTACTTGTGTTCGCGGAAGACGGTTACAAAATGAAATTCTAAAATCAAATGTAACTTCACTGGCTGCTAGGTGCTTGAGCGGTGACCCAACAAGACGTTGATTTTGTCCGTTTCTTGTTTGTGTTGGTCATCGGTTCATTTTTTTCATTGGGGTCGGTATGTGCGCCCAACGGGGTAGACACATTTTGTGTCATGTCCGCCCGGCATTTCGTCGAAACCTTATGGGTGAATTGCCCGTAGCTCCTCCGCCGCCGCCCCGAGCTCCCACAGCGCACTCCTGCTTCGCGGATGAGGCCAACGCCCGGCAACTCTGAGGTCGAACTGCTCGCGGACGAGGCTGTGCCGCGAGAAGCCATGGGGTCGCGCTCTTTGGGTCGTGCCTGCTTGTGGTCGCGCTCCCTGCGTCCCGCCCGCGCCCATGATCCGGGTCGCGCGTGTGGCGCCTAGCAGCACCAGCACGCACGCACGCTCTGCCGGTGGTGGCTAGCTAGCTAGCTAGCACGTGCGTGCCGGCTAGTGGCTCGTCGCCGGTGAAGCAGTGGCGGCGATGGAGGCCGGTCGTGGTGATCTCACAGCAGATGCCATGGGATGGCTAAAAGTGGGGGGCTACGTGAAGACGTCGGTGGGTTCCAGAGGTGAGGTTGGCACGCGCAGGTGCGTGACACGAGACGTACCCAGGTTCGGGGCCCTCCGTGGGAGGTAACACCCTAGTCCTGCCGAATGGATGATATGCACTAGGTTACAGGGTTGCTCCTGGAGCTGTTTGGGTGGAAGAGGAAGAAGGGCTAGGCCTCTATCTTGCCTCTCCGATGAGTGTGTGTGTGTTGGGGGGGTGTTCTACTGATCGGGCGACCCCTTGCATGGCAGCTCCTGGGGGTCTTATAGGCCGACCCCCAGGGATACAATGGTAATATTACATGGGTGCAGGGGCCCTGGTGTCATCCTCTGGGAGCCGGCAGTGAGGGCCGCCGGGTCCGCCGGGCGCGGGCCATGCCTGGGCCTCTGGGCACGGGTTCGGCTGGCTGCACGGCACCGTGGGATGCCTCATCCTGCGTCATGGGGCGGCTGGTGCTGCTCTGCTACAAGGTCGTGTTGCCCCGGCTCCGCACGCCCCAGACGGGGGCGTAGGGCGCACTGTAGCCACTCCCGCTTGGGTCGGCATAAAGGGGGTGCATTCTATCCACGCTTGCCCCGTCGTAGGGAGTTGTCTTCTTGTGGCCGGTCGGCATGCCGGCCGACTAGCCGTGTTGGAAAACATTGCATTGAAAACAAAAAAAATTCTACGCACATGCAAGATCTATCCATGGAGATGCATAGCTACGAGAAGGGGAGAGCATCTACATACCCTTGTAGATCGCTATGCGGAAGTGTTTATAAACGCGGTTGATGTAGTCATACACCTTCACGATCCGTTCCGATCAAGCACCGAACGTACGGCACCTCCGCGTTCAGCACACGTTCTGCTCGATGACGTCCTCGCCTTCTTGATCCAGCAAGAGGGGCAAAGTAGTATATGACTTTCAGCAGCATGACGGTGTGGTGAAGGTGGTGGTGAAACTATTTCCGCAGGGCTTCACCAAGCGCAACGGATTTACGGCAGAGGATGAACTAGAGGGAGAGGGTGCACCGGCATATGGCTTGGTGAATCGTGGTGTGTGATGACCCACGAGTATTGGGGGTCAATCATAGTCTATTCGATAGGTAATAGTGTCTAACACAATGAGGAGCAGAAGGAAATGACAAGCGATTTTCAGCAAAGTAATGTCTGCAAGCACTGAAATTGTCGGTAAGAGGTAGTTTGATAGCAAGATAATTTGTAACGAGCAACTAACGGCAGCGGTAAATAAAGTGCAGCAAGGTAGCCCAATCCTTTTATGGCAAAGGACAGGCCAAAACGGTGTCTGTAGGATCGAAAGTATGTCTAGAGGGAGGGTGATTAGACTACTTAACCAAATAAAAATCTAGCGTTTTCCTAATTTTAAGTCTTGGCAGATTTTAGCAACGTAACATAAGTCAAACAGGCAACCTACACATGCAATTCTAAGAGTATAGCAGCGGAATGTAAATCATTGCATATGAAGGTAAAGGGGAGGAGTTTGGAGGAAGAAAAAGCAATGTAGACACGGAGATTTTTGGCGTTGTTCCGATAGGTGGTGCTATCGTACATCCACGTTGATGGAGACTTCAACACACGAAGGGTAACGGTTGCGCGAGTCCATGGAGGGCTCCACACATGAAGGGTCCACGAAGAAGCAACCTTGTCTATCCCACCATGGCCATCGCCCACGAAGGACTTGCCTCACTTGGGTAGATCTTCACAAAGTAGGCGATCTCCTTGCCCTTACAAACTCCTTTGTTCAACTCCATAATCTTGACGGAGGCTCCCAAGTGACACCTAACCAATCTAGGAGACACCACTCTCCAAAAGGTAATAGATGTTGTGTTGATGATGAACTCCTTGCTCTTGTGCTTCAAATGATAGTCTCCCCAACACTCAACTCTCTCTTACAGATATGGATATGGTGGAAAGATGATTTGAGTGGAAAGCAACTTGGGGAAGGCTAGAGATCAAGATTCTTGTGGTAGGATTGGAATGTCTTGGTCTCAACACATAAGTAGGTGGTTCTCTCTCGGAAAATGAGTAGTGGAAGTGTAGGCACATTCTGATGGCTCTCTCTCAAATGGAGAAGGGCGTGGAGGGGTATATATAGCCTCCACACAAAATCTAATCATTACACACAATTTACCAAACTTGGTGGGACCGCATAGTGAAACTCGATGGGCCTGATCTGGTTCAAAATGTAAAAGTTAGGCTTTTCGGTGGGACCGACAATATCAACTCGCTGGGACCGATGCGCTAGGGTTAGGACAAAACCTCATCTCGGTGAGACCAATCACATGAACTCGGTGAGACCGATTTCAGTAATAAGCAAACAGAGACTTGGTTAGGCAAACTCAGTGGGATCGATTGCTAATTTTGGCGAGACCGAAACATTACAAAAAGGAAAAACAGAGTTTGCATTGCGAACTCAGTGGGACCGATCGCTCATGTTGGTTAGATCGAAACGTTATGAAGGGAAACATAGAGTTTGCAATCCCATCTACATGAGACCAAGATCCCTATCGGTGAGGCCGAAATGATTAGGGTTTCTGGCTATGGCTATGTCAAGTAAACTCGGTGGCGCCGGATAGATCAAAACGGTGGGGCCGAGTTTGACTTTAGGTTTAGGACATATGTGGAAATGAGAAAGTGGTTGAGGGCTTTTGGAGCATATCACTAAGCATTTTGCGCAAGCAAGCCATTAAGCAACATCTCATCCCCTTTTAATAGTACTGGCTTTTCCTATGGACTCAATGTGATCTTGGATCACTAAAATGAAAATGAAGAGTCTTGAGCTTTTGCCAATATGTGTCCTTAGCATTTTCAGGGGTCCACATCTCTAGTCCAAACCATACCAATAACTGTACTTTATGAAACATTAATATTGAATGGATATTAGTTCAATGAGCTATATGTTGTTATGAATTACCAAAACCACCCGGGGATTAGTTGCACTTTCAGTCTCCCCTTTTTGGTAATTGATGACAACATATAGATCAAAGCTTCGACAAATGATAATAAAAATGAAGTACATCGTCGCTTTGAGTAGTATGTGATAAGCAAGAGCTCCCCATAAGTTGTGCATTATTTAAAATTTTCTTTTTAATGCAAATGCACAATCGATTAGGATCATGGGTTACTCTTCCATGTCACATACATCTTGGCGGAGCGTTCAAAATGATAGAATATGAAATATGCACTCATCACCAAGGCAAGATATGAATGATCATACATAAAAGATAGAATATCATCATTCAAGCACACAATAAAGCATAATATGATAAAACACATGATCATAGGCCAACTAAACAAGCAAGCAAAAAGGTAGCAAGAGAGGCAAAAAGAAGCAAAACTCTCTCTCTCTCTCTCTCTCTCTCTCTCTCTCTCTCTCTCTCTCTCGAAGCCTATGATCTGTACACTTTCTCCCCCTTTGGCAATAAATTACCAAAATAGACTAAAAATGCATAGTGCTATGCAGCTCTCTAAGCACAATCTACGGGAGCTCCAGCGTGCGAAGGTGGCATTGAGAGGAGTCCTGCAACAAATACATCTAAAGAGGTCTGTGGAGCTGGTGGAGTTGCAACTGGAGGAACGACAGAGGCTGTAGCTGCCGGTGCGGAAGTAGTAGCCCTAGTGTCACTGGCTGGCACAGCTGCAGACCTTTGTGCCCTTTGTACTCTCTGAAAGACTTCGGTGGTATCTCTCCCTCTTCTCTCTTCAGCTTCTTCCTGGAGCTGCTCAACTGTAGTCTGGATCTCTGTGACCTTCAAGTCTAGATCATAAAACTTTGTCTCGATGATCCTCTCAAGACTCTCTTGATTTTAAGTCAGGGTTGCCAATCCTGTCTCATCTTCATATTTTCAGGCACTGGATGTGTATCATCATGATCTGGTATCTTGGGCTTCAACTTTTTCAGCACTTGGGCATCTTCTTCTTCTTCAACCTCAGGCACTAGGGCCTTGTTCTTCTCAGCAGGTGGGTTATTTCTTGTTGATATTTTGGGTGCTGCTGGCTTAGAAAGTTCTGCAGCAGAAGCAACCATGGGGGTGTCTTGGGCTTGGATGGAGCAGCCCCTAACTTGATGGCATCCCCCATCAGCTTTTGAGTTTTGGCAGGAGGTACAACTGGCTCTTCCTCCTCCGCTTCATCTGATGACCTGATCATGGATGGCTTCCCAATCACTCTAGCCATGGTCTCCTTGACCCTTTCCTTTCTCTTCTTGCCCTCAGCAGTCTCCGTTGGCTCAA